TGCTGCTGCTGCTGCTGCAACACCGGCCTTCAAACCTTAACTTATTCACATCCAATTTAAGAGCCCACACACTGCAACAAATGAGGAGGAGAAAGCTCTTATGTAATAACAACAATGATCACAATAAATGTGATTTATGAAACAAGTGAAGCAGAGTTCAATGAATATTTCACTAAATAGTTTTGTGTCAAAGCTGTTTTGATACCAGTTCATATCAAAACTCACATATTACGTCAAAACTGACAAAAATCAGAACAGAAAAGGCGATGTGTATTTTGTGAAGCAAACAAAGGCTACTCTGGAAGCAGTAGGAATTTAATCCTTTCCACCCTAGTGGTCCCGCTCCTGGAACCACACAGTATCTGTTATTAAAGTGAGACCTGCCACTGCCATTTTGAGAAGGTCGCAGAGCGTGGCACATTTGCCTCTCCGAAGCTTATTAAATGGATAAAACGGATAATATTGCATTGCCCCGCTTCATTTATACTACATCAAATTTAGTGGATATGTCAGTAAATACAACACCACTAAAATGTGAAATCTTTTTTAGGCACATCTCCAAACATTTGAGTATGAATAATAAAAACCCCTGAGCCACTAACAAGGGCATTGTCATTATGGATAATTTAAAAAACAAATGCCATCCCATATAGTAGCAATCCAGACATCAACTCACTGATCAGTTTGCACAAAGATGGGGTAGAAACTGACTGATCTGCACTGTTGAGTTAACATCAGCTGCTAGCTCACTTTAGCTCCTCGACAGCACAGACTGAATAAAGTAGAATCCACACAATCTACACACAGTTCACTTGTTCTTCCACAGCCTCAAATGTCCAGCAGACAGTTATGTCTGCAGAAAGAATCACTGGTGCCAGCCTGCCCTCCATGGGGGACCTGTACACCTCACGGGTCAAAAGGAGGGCGGAGAGGATCACTGCAGACCCCTCACACCCTGGACACAACCTGTTTGAACTCCTCCCCTCTGGACAGCGTTACAGGACACTGTGAACCAAGACAACCAGGCACAGGGACAGTTTCTTCCCCCAGGCCATCACTCTGATGAACAGTTAATCCATGACTGGACACAGCAATGACCCCAGTGCAATAAATTGTAAATATAACGCAACATGCATATCAGTCTGAAAGCTCTTCTGTTGTAATGTATATAGATGAGTATATATTTATAAATACTCTCTCTTTTTCCCTATTTTTGATTGCACATATTCTTTTTGAATGCACACATTTTTCTTATTTTCATTTTTTTTTATTTTTCATTGTTTTTATTTTCTGTGTTCATTGGTACTCTCTATTCCCTATTGCCTACAAACACATTGAGAGTCTCTGCACCAAAGTCAAATTCCTAGTATTTTCAGACATACTTGGTCATTAAAGATGATTTACATTCTCATCTCGTAGCTAGAGATAATACGTCTTCAACATAGCAAACCGAGAGATCAGATCCATGGACAGTCTTTTTTCAGTCTGTCTCTCTCGTCTACAGGATTTCTAGGTCCTCTACGTGTTAGCCACAGCCAGGTAAACAGAGCAGCATGTGTGCAGACTGTTGTGACTCACCACACCTATCATCTACATTATTTTACTTGAAACAATCTTTTTTGAGCACAATGTAACAACTTGTTATCCACAAAGAAGACATTTTACACACCAGGAGGTCCAAACTGAACCAAGTAACCAATGTATGCATGTAGCAGTCAGCACAGATGCACATGTTTACTGAGGTGGAAATGCAAAGATCGACCTTGGGGTTTCAAGAAGCAATACTTAATCATTCAAACAAGAGTCGCCAGTAATCGGAAAATGGGTATTTTTATCCAGCCCTATCCCATAGCATCACGGTCAGCTGATGAAGGGTGTTTTTCAGTCTCTAATTTAGCATCTTTCAACTCTCATTCCGGGGTGACGGGGGACAGGGAGACCTATCGTATTTCAAGATTCTCTTCCCAGATGTCACTCATCCACAGAGCCCAAGATTGTTCATTTTGGCCTTATAGCTGTGGAGCTATTACTGAATCAATTTGGGGATGTTTTTTCAGGTGGAAATTACAAACAAATTGCCCAGGGCTTTGCAGTCACTGCCAGGAAGCAGGTTGCGTCTCTATCAACCCTAATCCAATCTACAGTATGACCCAGCCAAACACTGCTGCCCTCTAGAGGTGATGCCGTGATTGAATTTCACAAGAACACATTTAATGAATATTTCAAAGTTGTATAAAATTCATTATTAAAATATAGTTTCTAGCCTTCAGTTGCCATGACAACTCTACTTCAAAAATACAGAAAGCAAGGCTACCCCCCTTTAAGCTCCTCAGGCAAGATATTCAGTATAAAGGAGGCCCTGATAGCAGAAGAGAAGTCTTCATTCTCAAATGCAGTATTCACAGCGCACAACAAGGCCACAGTAGCACAGATTACAGTCCCAGTGAGGAGGTATGTTGCATTTCTTTCCTAACTCCTAATTTCGAGGGAAATGCTAACACAACAAAGGAAACTCTGCTTTGATTTGTGTCTTTATTTGTACATATTACTGTTTAACTGCAGCTCAAAAGTTATGAGGTGAATAACAATGCATCTCCTCACGCAGGCCAAGTCTCTCCACTGTCGAATTCAACCTGAGTCCCACAAGCCGTAATCCATCCTAAGTATAAAATAAGCAATTTGCAAAAAGTCAGTGAGCTTTGGAAGGCCTTCAGTCCCTCGCAGCTGACTGGAGCTTTAATCATTAGAACCCTTTTTGAAAAAAGAAAAATAATTACTTGAAGACTGAGAAATAATGCAGCAAGACTTAATTCAATTTGATGAACCATGCACAAGAAATGTGGCTAGTGTTCAAATGAGACCATGTGAATAAACCTTTGGGCTCCCACACCTCACCACTTTTTATGTTAACAAAATAAAAGAATATATGTCCTGAGTCAATAACAACATGCCTCTAAACAGCCAAGATGATCAAAATCTCAGGATCAGAGCGCACCACAAGGCAATAAAATACAGCTGATTGCAATCTCTGAACATAAAACATAACTGACCCCAGCTCAAAAATGAGTCCGCAAACTTGACATGTTAGTGTGTTTCCTGAAAGAACCCTGGTGTTTATTTGAAAGCCGAACAGACACCCAAACACACCCAGTCTGGTTTATGCTCAAAGCCCAAAGGCTCGTGGGAGAGAGAATGGCTACACCCTAAAACACACCGGCCATTCATCAACTATTTATTTAGCTGCCACAACTCTTAAATAGCACATTATAAAAGAGGGAATTAATTTCAAGTGTGAAGAAACCCAATTAATTCACAGCGAGAGGAAGCTAATCCATTTGTCACTCTAGCTGTGCATGTGTGTCTGCATGTACAGTTTACTATGGCAAATGTGTTTTGCCGTGTGTGAAAGTGTATTTGAGCGTCCATGTGGTAATTCTACACACCTAATGGTGGGCTACATGAAGCCGTGACTGAGTGGCTATGTGCTACCTTTACCGATTAGCTCAAACGGTCCAGGTCATCTTCTCCCCAGATATCGCAGGGTCATTAAGATGCACAAGCATGTTTCATTGCTCATTCACTAATGCTTAGAGCTTCCATGCAATGGGCATTACTCAGCTGCATTACTGACCCTTCTCTACTGAAGGCCAGCCAAACACAGGCTTTTATCAGCCAATTAACATCTGCAGGACAAGGGCTGATTAGTGGCTGCAGAAATCTCATCCACCCGACATAATAAACGAGAAAAATTGAGATTAGCACAGTACTAAGTGGTTATGGAGACTTCAAGGGCATTGTCAGAAGAAGTTTGGTTTAGAGTTTAGTGCAATTGTGCAAATGATTTAAACAACAAAGGCAACACATACAAACATGTATTGGATCTAAACAATGTGGTATACAAGAAAAATTAATTAACAAGCTAGGGAGATGATATGAATTCTACAGTGTGTGCGCTCAACTAGATGTTGTGTGTCCACTTTCAATAAATCCCTAAGTAACAGTTAGTGTTGAAGATGATAAACAAATTCCTTCAAGCCAGTGCAGCTTCAAGTTCAAAAGCTTTCATGTGAAACCATACATATGAAACGTCACAATAAATCTGACAGCTCAACCAGACAACCAAACAGAAGCGTGACAGGATGCTGTTGTCTGCTTTAGGCTACAGAAACCCATAGCTGTGTGGCCCTCCTAAAAACTCAGCAACACGAGTGACCAGAATGTCACGTAATGTTTTGCTGGAGAAGCTGGGGAAGGCAAAATCAGCAGCTAGTTTACAAATCATTTTTAGCCATCCCCTGTGAACAGCGCGTTTCCCTCAGTACCGGGAAACGGTACTCATCACAGATTTAGCACTCTCAAGCGTGTAAATGTACCACATCAATTTAAGGGCCATGTGCTGTATGTACTGTAGGGG